TTTAGTCAAATTTGCTAAAAGAGGTTTTCGGGATTTTCAGGAGCCAGCCGAATTAATAAAATAGCAGCGAATTAAAACTTTACCCTCTTTTGAGGGAAAGTGTAGTTCTATTACAATCCAAATAGAGATAAATTATTTAATTTTTGATAGTCCTCGACAAGCTAAGATGATCTGTACGTACTAGTGTAGAAGAGCAGATAGTGCGATAGGTTTTCAGTATAATGTGTGTAAATTTTAGAGGTGTCTTCTACCACAAATGAGTTTTATGATCGTTTGGGTATTAAAGGTCTTGTATCCGACCAATTTGATGCACGGAAACACATTGCTGGGTAATATTTATTGAAGCATAGATTTTAGAAATCTGAACAATATATGGAGAATTATAATTGTACATTCATACACTTTTTACTTTTCTACTTTTCTTTATATTATGAATAACCATCCATCATATCTGAATTCAATTGTAAACACTTCAAACTGCACATCACCTTTCAGGAGTAGGAGTATGAATACTTCATCATCGACAAGCTTATTTGAACGTGCCGTTAACGAAAGTGCGTCGAATTGTGTTGAAGAGCCAGTATTCAGAGTTAGAATTAGCGAATTGGAGAGATGGAAGCCTCGTAGCAGAATAAATATTCCAGTAAGTACTTTGAAATTTATTTTATGCTGAAAATAGACCACAGCTAGTTGTCTTGCAAACACTAGACTTTTTTTGAACACAGCTGTTTTGGAATAGTTGTGATATTAAACCTTTTTTAGGTGGCAGTAAGTGATGCCAATTTTGTGGATGTTGTAACCATGAGTGTTGAAATGCTGTATTTATATCTAAACATCTTTTGTGAACAACAGTTTTTTAGACTCAGCCAAAGTTCACTGGAGCTATAAGAAAACGAAGCATACAAAGAAGCACTGTACCCATAAAAAACACTGCGCGCTCGATTCCCAATACAAGACAGATTGCTGGTCGAATCAGACCATCCGTCTTTAATCGTTTGGGCTGATTCTCTGATAACATTTTAATTTGTAAACATTGTTGTCATTTTGAAAAACATATGAACCTCAAGTTCAGATAGTTATGAGCCCAAATAAAGCCTTTTTTTGATTTATTGCTTTAACATTCTGCTTGGATCAGTTTGTTTTCGACATGCTATAGATTAATCTTATATCCTTTTCACCTCAAGAATTGTATGAGTCTTTGTAGAATTACTTTACTGTATATTTTCAATTCTACTATGATAAATAATTTCTATCACCTCTGTCTTCTGATTTGTATTTTTTGATAACATTTGTTTCACACGAGAATAAAACTCTTATTGGCGTCTGGTTCACAGATGATAAATTGTGGTTATAATAGATCTTTGACATATCTATTAATTACTCTTCCAATTATTTTATGAACAATTTGTAAATAACATATCTTGGCGATTAATTTTGGTTATCTGAAAATTTTGTGAAGAAATTTAAAATTTGTTTTAAATTTATTATAATCGTTGTGAAATATCATATTATCGTTCATGAAATTTTATCATTTAAATCATATATTTATTACACACCTTTCATAAACTTTCAGTGAAGAAAATATACGTAATTTAAGTTTAAATCCTAAGACAATGGATATTGGACGTTTGGAACCGTTGGAAACGCTCGAGAAGGATTATTATTTAGATGAACGTAACGGTTGGTATAGTGATGGTGAACAAAGAGACAGCGAAAGGTTTGTAACTTTTGTTACTCCGTTGTCATTTTACCTTGGAATTGATCGTGACGAATATCACAATCCACTTTAAATATTTACAGATTACATACGAATAATGCGGCCCATGGTCTATCTAAGAAACAGCTTAAATTATGTTCAAATGAAATTTTTTATGTATTTATGGGGCCAGAGTTGATTTTCAATGTACAAAATTTTTGGAACAACTTACTACGAACGTTGGTAGTCTGATGTCAATTTCAGTTTTCTCATTGCAACATTGATACTATTCTTTCGTCATGTAGTTTTAACATTGCTTAGAGGGTTGAATTCGGCTTTTCAGGAAAATACATAGATAGATAACCGAAGTTTCACAAATTTAAAATGAACTATATAAACTTCTCGGCAAAAGAATATATTGCTTAAAATATCAAATTATGTCATTCTTCGTTAATCGATATTATCCGGCATTGTTATTGATGCAAAGTAAAATGTGATTTATGTATTCAGTAGTATTTGTTTTTTAAGTTCTGATGATGAATTGCGCGAACAGTTACAAGAATTAGCTGGCATGCGGTGCGAATATAAAGATGAGAAACGTAAGTGCTCTTAACTTCATCGAAGATATCATCTCCTGCAAAAAATTTAAATTACAAATCTAACTAGTGAATTCTTTGTAATTATCTGGATGTTGTCAATAGAAATCCAATTGGAACACTAAAACGAACATTTTTTTTAAGGACATGAAAAAGTGAAGAAATGGGATAAATTTGAATTAGATATGGATAGCGAACTAAGTAAAAGTTTTGTCGCGCATGCATCGAGAATATTCTCTTTAACGAAGAAGGAAAATGGAGAGGATTTAGAAAGTGTGTTTATATCTTCATTGCTTCATTTTAGATTTGTTGATATGACCTTTTCCTTTGCTTTTTATTGTAACCTTTATTGTGAGTTTACTTTTCTTTTGTTTCTTTTTGTGCACAATATGATGACTTTGACGAGTTATTTGACGCGGAAAATTCTAAACTTTCATTTCACGTTTTGTCCACGAAATAATTCGTCAAGTTTTATAAGTCGCTTTTGTAAATTATGTGTTGTTATAGATCACTAGTTTCATTTCAGCTTTCTCTGCATTTAAAATATAAGAAAATTTTCTTTCACTTTCTGATATTTGCCTTTAAAAAAGTTGTAAAATGGCAGGAAATAATATTAACTTTAGTTGACAACGAAAATGAAATGGATGCAGATAATAGTGGTGGTACCCAAACTGCGCAAAATGAAGCTTCTGCAAATAGCGGTAATTATTTCAGTACATTTGCATTTCATGTATTAAATAAAGTTGGATCGTATTTTTATGACTCACTGGTATTACGTTAAATGCATTTTAAGAAACTTGATTGTACAGAAAATTTTTAGGTATTATTTCGTCAACGAATAAGCAGACTTCTTCAAACAAGCGCGTTAAATCGGTTAGTGAACCAAAAAGAGATTATTTATATTTTTGTTTTATAATCGTTTAAAAATTTTTGTAGTTTTGTTTGAATATGATCTATTCAAGTACCTATTTTGACTGATTTCTCAATGATAGCTGTCTACTACCAGGTATTTATTATTTTAGGTAACTTTCGAAGATCAACTGAACAAACGTGGATGTAGCTCAGAATCTTCTTTTAGTAATGATAGCAATTTGTTACATAAAGCAGTAAACAAGATTGCAAAAGCGGCAAAAAGCAATGCTGAAGTTGAATTCTACGATTCGGATGAAGATGAAGACAATGAACGTTGGGTATTGTTGTTTTTGACTTTTTTAAATTTTTACCTTTAGGCACATTCTTATCTTTTTTGAAATTGTTGTGCTGGGGAGGATTAAAATGTTTTAATGAATTTAGGTAAGCCGTCATCGGGAAGAGCTGAAAATCGGAAAATCCTTGAACAATTCTTCTGAAGAAAATAGAACGACAAAACAAAAAAAGGATCAGGATCATGTAACGGATGCAGTACTCTCATGCCCTGCATGTATGTCATTATTAACAAGAGACTGTCAAAGGCATGAGATCTATCTTAATCAGTACAGGTACGACTACACAAAAATTTTTTTCGAAATTAAAAATGTTCTGAAATTTGATAGTAGTGCAAAAGTTTGTGGAAAAGTGCTTGTGTTACATTACAGTTTTTTTAGCAGGTGATAGAGTTAGATTTGATGAAGTGTATTATCTTTCATTTTGCCATTTGGAAAGATTGTATTAGCATTCTTGCACATTTACGAAGGGAGATACTGACTTCTAGCAATCATCGTATCGTTAAAGGCTAGGATTGTAGCAGCTTGAACGAAGTGACACAGAGAAGTCATTACCAAGTGAAACAAACTGTGTTATGTCATGCGAATTAATATTTTCAGAGCTGTCTTTGTGGAAAATTGCAATGTGGTGAAAAATGAAGTATTATTCTTGCCTCAGTCGGGAAAAAATAAGCGGAAGGCTCGGAAAAATGCCACAGGTTGTCATTTCAATCCAAACATTTTCGATTATGTTTTTCTGAGAGAGATACTATTTTGTTCTGATCTATTGCCAAATTTTTTGAAAATCTTTTGTAGGAGTTAAACCGAATAGTATCGTTGATCCTGCTGTTATTACGACGCTTCCGAAAGAAGATTTATTTCATCCAGTGCTTTGTAAAGTTTGCGCCACAAATATTGGAGTATGTAATTATGAGGAGGTTTTTCACTTTTTCAATGTCCTTACTGGTTATGCTTGAAGCCTGTACAGTATACGATTTGATTAGATTTTTCACTGGCAATCTTTTTTATTTGTATTTTAGACTTACAGTACTTACTGCTTGGAGTATTTATGGCACCGTCTCCTTATTAGTTCATCATAATTAATAGTATTTTCCGCGACTTTAAACGCTGCTGACTTTGTGAAATTTGTCAAGAATTTTTTTTAAGTACTATAAGTTTAATGTTTCATTAATGTTGTTCACTGTGTTAAGTAAAGATAAAGTACATTTGACATTTATGTATATTGCTGATGCCCAAGTTTAAGGTGACAAAAAAATCTGTTTGTTCTTCATTAAAGAATTATAAGTAAAATGTATAATCCTGGAAAGTTATATTAGGAACAAATACGGAATGATAGCAAAACAATTTCTTTTAAATGAAAAAGTGGTTTCATTTGTTCATTCACCAAAAGCAATCACTACATTGGTTGGACTTGTTGTTTTCGTCCGTATAACAGGAAATTGAACCACTGAAATACATCATACCGAAAATCTTTTTGACGATACAAAAACAATACCACCATATTGAAGGAATTCAGCAGGCGCAAATGCGTGCAACAGATCACCACGAACTTCGACGTATCGGAGGGATCCATTATGTGCATATATTCCACAATTGATGGTATCACGACAAGAACTGTAAGATAATAAATTAAGTAATAGCAGCAAATTACTTGCAAAACTAATTACATAATAGGTTCAAGTACTATCTTTTCCGCAGCTATTTGGTTAGCTGAGTACTGAAAAAATATGAAACTTATATCCTAAAACCTTGAGGATAGCATTATTTCATCATTATTGAAAGGATTTAGCTTCTCGAGAATATGCACAGAAATCGGATTGTAGAAACGTACAAAATGTGAGACAACCAGAGATTATTGCCGTTTTAGTGTATCGCTCCTGATTATTGAGAAAATGTGACAGATCGCGGTTATACGAATTATTTGAAAGGAATTGCTTACCGAATTTCCTGAGAGTAACTATGATATGATTAAAATACAATTCAAATTTGAATTTAACTTTATAGGAATTTTTATCTGATCTAAAGGACGAAAAGAAATAACAATTCATTAAAACAGGTATGTATTGTATGCGTTTGTTTATGCTATTTTGTTTTGTTTACTAGTTTATATTAGCAAATATTGCTTAAGATTCGATCATCATATATTCTCCTCTTATAGAACGTTGATGGCATGAATTTATTCAAAAGAATGAATTGATATGACAAATTTTTCAAGTTGTTACTTTCTCAGAATGATAACAACAATAATCATAAGAACAACACTCATAGATGAAGCACTGCAAACCATTAGTAATATCGCTTTATAAAAATAAGGTGAATATACGTCTTGTAACCTGGAAGAGTTAAATTTTGAAAGTAAATATATTTTCGTTATATTATGAGAAACAATTGATTCTAGTGGTTATAATACAAAAGTGCATTTAAAAATGAAATATTCATTTTTAATAATTGTAACATTACTTACATGCAAAGATTTGATATTTGCCGAGTTGGTTCAATTAAACTTGCAGCGACGGTAATAATTACAGCAATGATTGTAATCACATATTGTGCAACAATTAATGAATAACTTATTCGTGCGTTATGAACATAATAATATACCGGAAATGCTACAACTGAAAGTCTTTCTGCGCTGTTCATCAACAAACTCATTCCATTTACACAAAGTACTGCTAGAAGAATAATGGCTATCTGAAATTCTTTACTATTCATTTTTTGAATATCTTCATTGATTTAAATTTCTGAAATATTAGCATTAGAGAATTGTAAAGAAATAAACAAACACTTAGCACGCATTCGTGATGATTTATCAATTTTTCATCGTTTGAATTTGATAAGCGTTTCATTGCTATTAATATCACACCAATTCCGGTAAATCCACTATTGAGGAAAACAACAGCAATAACAATATATGTTTCTCTGTAATATCATTTTTGCGAAATCACTTATTTTGGTAGTAATTTCATAATTTGAAATGCTTATATCTTTTATTTCATTTCTCTGCTTATATTCTAATTTGCAAATTTTCCGCTATGGCAAAACCATTCATTAAACTATGCTCGATGGTTATTTTTTTTATAATATATAAATAATATAAATCGGCTAACCTGAGTGCTTTACGCATAATTACAAATAGAAAAATAGGAATGTTGAATATAACAGCTATTGGACCGATAATAAAATATGCATATGTGCGTAAAATACTATTAATTCCTGATAACATCTATTTTTCTTTGTTTTCAACGATAGTTGACACTTTTAGTTGTCACTTTATCTTCAACAGATTAATTGAAATAACTTAACAAATTTATCAGTACTGCTTTTAGCAGCAATTATCTGACATACAATATATATAGATGTTCACAAAACCAATTGACATCTCACACTGTAGTTAATTTCTTGGATAATTGGAAGGATAAGTTGAATTATTAATATAGTCAGACGATGTAAAGATAAGCTAACAACTCTAATGGTATATGAAAGCACTGTTTATTAAAACTACGATATTCTAAGGCAACCATTATTTTGGTTTTATTATAGCCTAGAAAAGCGCAGGGAAATGTTGGCCTCATTTAATATTGAAATACTGACCTCACTTTTGCTTCTTGCAATAATCGATTTGATAAATACGTCGAGAAAAAGATGGTAATAGTAATAACGTATACAATTTTATAGTGTAAATTGCTTTCCAAAATTGAAATATGGAAAATACAAGAAAGATAAAAGAAGAAATCACTGAGATATGCCTTGAAGAGAATTCTTCTAATCGAAGGAATGAAAAATATTTTAGAAAGTTAGGAAGTGCGGAAGATACTTAATTAAGAAACTTTAATTTTCAGTTATCAAAAAAGAAGAAATGCTAAAATAGCAATAATGCCAATTAGCTACTCTTTTTGATGCTTTATAATTTTATCTTCAATTCTTCAATATCTTCAATTATCAGTCATTAGTAACAAAGCAAAAAAGTATCAACTATAAAAGCAACTTAAATTTTTATCCATTGAAATTTCTATGATTTTTATCCATTGAAAAAGCTGTTTTCGGATATGATGATCATGCTATTCTGGAATGAACTTCACTTATGTGATAGTAAATGAAGTATATTTCGAAACACTGTACGATACGTAATAGTAATCTAAATCCTCAGTGATAATTTCAAATGTAATTTAAGCAAAATAATTCAACTCTTCGTCTACCTCAATATAAAGGTGATCGTGAAGATTGAAATATATAAAATTTCATACGAAATTTAATGATATCAAAAAAGAAGCGTTTGAAAATTGTAGTAGAGAGAAGGAAAGTATACGAATTACAAATAAATTATACGCTATTAATTATTGCTAGCAATTAAACAAGATAGTTTAAGAATATGGATAATATGGCACTTATAAGTCTTAGATGATCAATTGAAGGACAAAGTGGCAGTATCGAAGAAGGAAATCAGGATAAATCATCATTCGACGCTAATCTCACAATATCCTGGCATTTCAATGTAATAAGCAATATGCCTATCTAATTTTAACTAATATGGTATCTGTTGGAAAGTAAAGTGGAAGAAGAGAAGCGAGAAAAGTTTGCTCCATAAAAAATGTGATAATAGCTAAGAGGGTGTCAATAAAATTGAATGTCAATCAGATAAATGACAAAATTAGGATAAGAGTTGCTGTTGTTATTAAAGTAATTACACCCTATTCAAATATCGTCGTAAAAAAAACCTTTTTTTTGTAAACATATAAATGGATTATTAATTGTTAAAGCATTCATTAGCAATGGAAGATAACCTATAATCCAGATAAAAATCATGAAGCTGTCACTAATTACTCATATCGCAACATCAAACAACATATACAGATGAAAATCTGAAAATTAATAATCCATATAAATAATAATAAACGGGAAGAAAGGTGATGAAAAATATTCGAAAGCTTTCGTCTAATATTAAGAATATCCATTTAAATTGTTGGTTAATTTTAATTAATTGTTATATCATCACTTTTTAACTAATTTATGTTTACATTTTAAACATATTTAAGGTTAAAGGTAATATTAAAACAATATTAAAGGTAATATGCAATAAGTGTTCATAAAGATAATAAATGATATTAATTCGATTCAAATTAGCAAACAATAGGCCGGTAAAAAATGTTCACGTTATATCTTTAATATAAGGAAGAAAATGAAAGCTTTAGAGAGAAGCAAAGGCATGTATGTATGAAAGCTAAATTCAATACCTCAATGATTAATAAACTGTTTGGATTGAAAAACTAAAGGCATCTTTTGATTTATTATTCTCAATTTTTTTAGCTATCGAAATGAGGAAATACTAAAATAGCTATAATATCAACTGAAAAGGCATTTGTATTTGATCAATTACAAAGGCACTTTAATTTAGTGTAATATTTACACTTCCTCATATGAATATTATTTTAGCCATGCCTAACAGTGAATAAATTGTTAATGAACTTAACTGATCAAATTTCATTTTGCTTTTTTGAAGCGGATAAGAGTTAGGTTTTAACTTATATCATGTCACACATGTCCTCCTTTCCTAAGGAATTGTATGAACCTTTGTAGCATTACTTTATTGTATTATATTCAATTCCACTCTGACGAATAATTTCCATCATTCTTCATAATTTTAAATTTCTCTTTCAAGAAGTGCTTATCATCTGATTTGCATTTTTTGATAACATTTATATCACACGAGAATAAAACTGTTATTGACGTCTGGTTCACAGATGATAAATTGTGATCTTTGACAGCCATCTTTGACATATCTATGATTAATTACTCTTCTAATTATTTTATGAATAATTTGTAAATAACATATTTTGGCGATTAATTTTGGTTATTATTTGAAAATTTTGCGAAGAAATTTAAAATTTGTTTTTAAATTAATTATAATCGTTGTAATTATAATCGTATTATCGTTCATGAAATTTTATCATTTAAATCATATATTTATTACACACCTTTCATAAACTTTCAGTGAAGAAAATATACGTAATTTAAGTTTAAATCCTAAGACAATGGATATTGGACGTTTGGAACCGTTGGAAACGCTCGAGAAGGATTATTATTTAGATGAACGTAACGGTTGGTATAGTGATGGTGAACAAAGAGACAGCGAAAGGTTTGTAACTTTTGTTACTCCGTTGTCATTTTACCTTGGAATTGATCGTGACGAATATCACAATCCACCTTAAATATACACAGATTACATATGAATAATGCGGCCCATGGTCTATCTAAGAAGCAGCTTAAATTATGTTCAAATGAAATTTTTTATGAATTTATGGGGCCAGAGTTGATTTTCAATGTACAAAATTTTTGAAACAACTTACTACGAACGTTGGTAGTCTGATGTCAATTTCAGTTTTCTCATTGCAACATTGATACTATTCTTTCGTCATGTAGTTTTAACATTGCTTAGAGGGTTGAATTCGGCTTTTCAGGAAAATACATAGATAGAAAACCGAAGTTTCGCAAATTTAAAATGAACTATATAAACTTCTCAGCAAAAGAATGTG